AACAGCGATTCGTTGTTTCAATCGGATTATCTGTAAGGTAGACAGTGAAATGAAAGAAAAACCAACAGCTCGAGGCAATCAAATCAAAGGTAAAAAAGGCAGTAAAATCAAACGAAGTTCCTTTTTCAATACAATACAACCCTGGGCTATGTGTCATCAACCCTAACATCACCACTTCGTCTCAGACTTTCATCAACATCAACAAAGTAGCAACAATAACTGCAATAATACTGATATCGATCGCTGAGATAAGCAGTATCGCTTGTAGACGTGTAAGCCTCAGCTGACATTTTAGCTTAAGAGAACTCAATTTGAAAAATCTGATATAACGTTGTAAAGTACATCATAAAGAAAAAATCACATAGTCAACCAGAAAAATGCGGAATGAGAAATGCCGTCGACGATGACACTGGACAGCAGAGGAGCACATGCTGTGCTGTGCAGGTGGCAAACGATACGATTGTCGAACAGCATTGATTCATTGCGATAGCGATTAAGATCGCTCTCGTTTCAGTCGAAACTCGATCGTAGGACGAATTTGAGGGGCCAAATCGCCGGAAGTACCGCACGGAACGCCAAGAAGTGAAGAGTGAGTGGAGCAAACATGGAACGAAAGGACTGACAGCCAAATTCTGGGTTCACTGAGCACATAAGAAATGTCAACCACTGCTTCTCACTTGATATCTTGTAGTAGGATCAATGAAGAAGAGATAGAGAAGAAGGACTGATGGGAGTGCCCTGTTTCAACAGTGCAACCATTAAAGAGAAAAACTAGTACGTTAACAATATATAATTTCTATTGTACCTTGCAGCCCATGTGATAACAGCCCAACTGGTGGCAATGCTTATAGTTGTTCGACTATAATAAAAGGATGAAGCTCTCGGCGTTGATCAATCCCTGAACACTGCGCCACATGCACCCTGCTCAACTATATTGACTGTAACAACCGCTTTTTATCTTACTGATAAGTAGGTTGAAACATCAATGACGACTAAACAAGTCCCAGAAAGTCAGTTGATAGCAAGGCAGTGTATTTTCACACAACACCGAGTATCATTGAGAATGTGAAATTATACTCCTACTGCTCTCATCCTAACAACAAGAATTCCTATGTTTGTAACAATGCTAAAAACACCAGTACAAGGACCACAACAACTTGTGTTCCAAGGAAAGTTGTCCTTAACATGTTTAGAAAATAATGACCAATGAATTGAAAATGGAAAATGACGTGTTTTTTTAGCATGTGACTAACCTTAACTACAAGAATACAAGAAAACACGGTGAACTATGTCGCTATAGACTGTGAATATCAGTGCTGTCCCACAAAAAGTTGAGATGAGTTTCAAAACTTTTTTTTAGCCTTCTTGATGTGCCTGGTCTGAAAAGCGGCGTTTCGACTGGCTGGATAGGTTGAGGTAAAAGATTGTTTTAGATACGACGCAATGACAATATTCTTTCCAAACTATTAATGGATTGTCTTCCACTGCGCGATCAGTAAATTGGAAAATATTCATCTGAGATACCAGTAACACTGATCTGATAATTCGGTAGACCAGAGCAGAGCGTTCTATACGTCAGGAGTGCTTTCAAGTAACTCTAACGTTGCTTAATGAGGTTGAGTTCATTGCGCATTCCTAAACAATTGATAAATACCGAATGGTTTATACTCTATGCAATTCTCTGTCCAAAAATTACATCGTTCCAATCGTTGTTAGGACGGAAATTATTTGTCTGTTCCACAAGATAGCCCTCTTCTCTACATCCAGATCTCACAGTATGCCACTCTGAAGTCTCGTTTAGCTGTGTTCTAGTGTCCAGAGGGGTCTTCGTAAAGTAAATGAGTTGTAAAATAGGTAATCCTCGGTTGTATTGTGTAAACAAGCCGGTTGAGAAAATTGAAAGACATATGAAGGAAGTGAAACCGAAAAGATTGTACAGAAAGCGAAGATGTGACGAACATCGGGAGCAATATCCAGACCAGAGTAACGGGCTATTTTTCAGGTAGGACTCTTATTTAAGCAATAGTGTTCAAAGGTGTCTGACAAAGTCTTGGTTTATCGATAAACTTACACGAGGTTGTTATTGACCAATCACTGAGGGATACGCCATGCATTCGATCTCATTAAGCATCGTTTGAGAGGATTGAATGCATATCTGGCGTTCACAATGATTTGCGGTGGCCTATCGATGGAATGAGCCAGTGTTGCTATCCTCCCAAACAAATCTGATATTAATTTGCTTACCCCGGAAGAATGGAGGGCTTGTTGAGCTTGGGGCGTGAAACCGAACCTATGTGTATCGCAACGCCCTTCTACCTAGTGCGTTACGCGCGCCATAATCTGACAAACTTAGCCTCCATTTTTGGTGTACAGTGCACTGTGCGAGAATTAATAAATAGTCATGAATTTTTTTATTTCAGGATGGAGCTGCGAATATTTAATGACATGGTGACTGAAGTAAGTTTGCAAACGCTATTACATTGAATACGAAAACCAGTGGACAACGAGTGACGAGGAATCACAGGTGAGAAATACGGAGTGAATGGCAATGTTAGGTACACATGCGATCGTCTTGCAAAGGACGGTGTTCCCACCCAGTGCGCATTCCCTGAAAACTCCCATTTCTTCGTTCGAATAGCTCCCTTGCTGAATTTATCCAACCTTATTGAAAACTTTAGAAAACCGCTGGAAAACTTAGTAGAGACCTCATTCTAGAAGGTTAGGTATTTTACGAAGCAAATGTTCAATCACAAGGAAATACTTTTGAAAACTCCTACTAATACTACGTTTTACAATTGCAGGTGTGCAGGAAATAATCGTTCCTGGAGCAGAACAGTACGAACTTTCATGGAAAGCCATGTTGAAGAAACTGTCTTCTTAGCAGAAAATCGTCCAATAAACTTCACCAAATGTTATTCAAATGATTGCGTCGGCTTGGTATAGTGCTCACCATATCATCGAGTATTCTCATCCAACCCTGCCATTCCAGTTCGCCTAGTCGCCATTTGTCTTCAATTACTCCGTTCTTGCTGTTCACACCTCCTCCTATAAATTTCAGATCATGTCCTAATAAAGAAATGTGTGGGGATCCCCATCCAGATAAGTTCTAAAAATCAGTAAAGTAGTCTAATAGTTGGTGAAAACGAGAAACCTTTTATGTTAAAAAAAATCGTTGACAACAAACCTCCCCGACTTGCTATTTCGAAAGTTCTTCGCGCAGCAGCTTCTGTCGGCAAGACCAATTCATCTATACTACTACATCTCATCGCTCTTATCTGATAGTAAAAAGAAAATTGAAGCTGAACAGTAAAAGTGATGTGAACATATTAATTTCTTCTGAATACAGTCTTAGTAAGAAGCATCTTTACTTAGTTTTTACTTCGCATACACTGAGCTCCCCGTGTAAAGGAGTGGTGGCTCACGTATTGAGGATTGTGAAGTTCGAGAATAAAACCTATTCAATCACGATGGAGTAAAATCAATTTATTAATCACATATAACGGCATCACACGCGGAATCGATCCCGTGCCCATGACCCACCAAGCCGTCCATTCCTCCGCGGTCGGTAAATTGGTACCAGACTTGTTTGGGAGGATAGCAGCACTGACTCGATACATCGGTAGGCCACCGCGAGTCATTGTAAATGCCAGATATGCATTCAGTTATCTCCAAACGATGCTTAATGAAGCCTAATGCATGGCGCATCCCTCAGAGATTGATCAACGCTGAGAGCTTTATCCTTTTTAACGGCATCCTGCATATTCTAAACATTTAAGTGAATATTGTTAAAATATGGGTATAGTCCAATCCAGCTTTTCTTTCCAAAACCATGCGTGATTGCAGGCACATTCTTCGTCTTCTATTCTGTCGATCCTGTTGAAAATGACTCCAGTAAAGAGCTTGTGAAAGGCACACACCAGGCCCGACAAGTATCTGCAGTTACGCAATATCGTGGTCATGCGTCGCGTACATTTACGAGTAACATTGTATTTTGACCAGACACCAGACAGAAACGGTGCTAGTAGATTGTGTCCCATGTGCATCTCCTAATGCGCAACAACTTGGTCATGCTTTTTCCACATTTACACGGAACACTTCATTTTGATATGCAACGGGTGAAAAGCCTAGCCAGACTGATAAGTATGAAAATATAAACGCTCTAGATTTTCTACAATGATTCTATCCAGATCGGGTACTGCATGGTTCTTCACCGAAAGGATAGGATGTTATGTTACGGAAGGGATAATCGCTGGCGCGACATATCCTTCATCTCTTATAACACGTCGGCAGATCAAAGGGTCTGTGGATAATATTAGAACACAATTCAATGAGGATTACCTCTATTGATTCATGGAAGCAGCAACTGTCTTAAAGTTCGTTCCTTTCCACAAAAAAAGTGATGTTCCGATCCAGTGTAAAACTTTGCAAAACAACGACAACGGTTGGGCAAAAGTATCGATTTACTACAATATGGTCTATTTCGTTGCTGTACATGTGGGATATCTTATGAGACCTATATCCAACGTTGATAGAACGGCTTCTTGACTGTGAATTACCATGAGTGGCTTTGACCACCATAACAAACACAGATAGAATCTCATAGTGTTCATTCTGTCACAATTCGAGATTCCCAATGCGAATCTCTTTCTAGGCTCAGTCTCGGTGTTTAGCTTTCCAGTGATACAATAAAGAGCGTGTAGATATCGAAGGAAATAGAATAAGGGAAATAGAAAAAAGGGAAAGAAATATATCTTAAGGAAATAGATATCGAAGATTAGGTGAGTCTGACACTTGAAGAGTCGTAATGACAACCAGTAGATAAAAACCATTAGCTGCAGGGTCACCGACTTCAAAAATTTGAAAGGTACACATAGAACAAAAAAGATGTATACTACGGTAGATAACAATACGAGATCACAGCGGACTGTATGCTTCAAGCTCAATGCGAAAAGAACGAGGTGTGTTCTCGCATGGGCCAGTAGGTATGAAAAAAGTGCATCTCATGTGCTGACCTGTGTTTCGCAGGCTAGAATAAGATGGTACGTCAAGTGGAACGCCTCTTCGATAGATCGTCCCCCGACGACGAATCCGTGATTTCTCAAAATCATGACGTTATATGAGCCCATGTCCTCCACCAATGATTCTCGTTCTTTGAGGTCGACAAGAATTCCCTAGGAGAAAAAGAATGAGGGATATATGATACACGAACGATTGCCAATAACAAGCATATTTTTCTTTTGATAATAAACCGCTTCGCAAAACGCTCAGAACCGTATGCACCGTTGCAGTGGATTTCCAAATGGCAAACAAAAGTATTGGTGCGTGACAAACTGTAACACTAAAAATGTTACCCTTTACGGGCCATAAAGTATCAGATTTACCTTCCTTTTTTCACAAGAAATAACCGTCTGTGGGGGTATTCATACTTCGACGGAGGTATGTTGGTCAAAATGACATGTTGCAGTTAGGAAAAAATTTAATGAGTATCATGGAGAGAAGCGCATTTTGCAATAATCGTGCTGCCTTTACGAAATGCAGCTTATTCGTTCTCCATTCAACACGTTGTCAACTTCGCTGACAATAGTGTGAGTGGACAAATCAATCCTTTAGGCCACAATTGAATCATCTTACTTGGATGGCCCGTCTTCACTGGTTGTATGGGCCTCCAGCATAATTTTCATTTCTTCGGGGTCTCGTTAATTTAGTCATTCTGGTTCCCTAGAGTTGGAAGGTCAGCCAAGCCAAAACCTGCCCCAGGTCGTCACCACCACAGGCAGCGGCCGCCCTTGGGAATCAGAGGGAGATTTGCCAGCATGCGACCAGTTTGATACCAGGACGGTGGTGGGTCCTAGCATTGGTTATATATATATATATATATATATATATATATGCAC